GAAATCATGTTCGAAAAACTGGTGCAATTTTGATAGATGGTGGTTTATCTAATGATCCATTATTGCTTAATGAAATTCTAAATAAATTTGCTGTAAATATTTCAGACAAATCAAATTCTGATGTCATATTAAATATTATTTGTCCTCACAATGGATTTATCTATGGTGATATACCTAGTGAATATGACATATTTGTCCCGAATGAGTCGAATTCTAGCCACATTTCGGATGTTATTGTACGAGATGTCGGATGTTTTCACAACCAATGTATGTTGATTAAAATCCCCAATCAGTGATGTGATAAATCAGAGAATAGCAAGTTTCCCTGAAGTAGTCAGAGAATCAGTTTACCCAGATATGAAGTTTTCATACAGTCAACATCCGATACACAGGCGGACGACCAAGATGAACCTAAGGAGAAGAGGTTGATTGGTTGGAGAAATTTGTATTCTCATTTAAGCTGTGGAGGATGTGGTGCTCGTATGAACTAATGATTCCTCTATACTTTATGAGTGTCTAATTTTGAATTCCACATACATTACGTTCGTTCGTGTTTATATAGTTGTTCTCAGTTAAATTGCGTTATTTACGGGATTCTTAGATTGTACTATAATTCAAATGTTTTTAAATATCACACATGCATATGAAATGACTTTTGTAAAACACAAATTTACATCTTTCCTTTATTTGCAACACTTCATATCCAATAACTGTAGTTTATCGGTATCAATAAATACAGACACACTGTGGTTCTTTAACTATGTTCTATCTGTCATCTATTCAACTGCTTAATGGCCACGGTCTGTGATTGGACATTACAACAGCCGTTTATGTCATTCTAAACAACATCGAAATGTTGGCTAGGGTTATTATTCCGTAACACTATCGGGTTTTCATTACGCGTTGCGCTATCGGTGCCACCACGTGCAGAGGAACCTTCATTAATCAATATTGGTTCTTATCACAGAATCAGCTTACAAGTAACATGCATTTTATAACAGTTGTTACCAATTCGTTATTTTGTATACAAATTTGTTGCATGTGTTGCTTTTTACCGTTTTGCTCTATTTATAGACAGTCACTTTGGTTTATAGGGAACTGGAAAAGGTACTATAATTCATAGGAGGTCGATGATTTAAATGTGACTACAAACCGCCTAGTTTGTATTCTAGATTTTCAAACTCTGCTGCATGCAAATGAACTTAGAATAGAAGGGGAAATATAACACCATTGTATCTCGATTTTCCATGACTTTAGTTAGATATACAAATGGAAAACATGATGGTGAGAAGATAATTTTGACCCACCCATGACTGTAGAACAGAGCATTTCGTTTAATAACAGCTCATTATGGTCAATTGTGATGTCATGAACCATTGGTATTTATGCTAATTTATTATTCACAGTACCTCTTTAAATGGTGTTTGTGATGATGAATTGTTTTCACGTCTTACCTAGTTATCCTATCACAAGCAAACCTAGACAATTTGCTTAAAGCGAATCCTGCTCGTAACCCTATGAAATCAATTAATATAAAAGTGAGCTGAAATAGCTTTTATAAGATAGGAGGATAGCCATTTGCGTACCAGAATACTGTTTTCAGTACTATATTTTAAAAGCTTTCATAATCCTAAACCTTCAACTTCTTCTTGAAACCCCATCCATTTGTACAGTTCTTTACCCATTCACATCATATTTGCGCTTCTTTTATTTAATTTATCAGAATGCTTTGCTCAAAAAGTACCTTAACAATAGAAAATTGGACTATTTAATCATACTTTCACTATTTCATTCCAAATGACTCAACTAAAATAGGCATAAAAATTGTTCAATTCACTTCTCTTCCTTACTATGCTTCACCCTTCTTTCCAGCCCTTTCAATATATGCCTTGAAAACACATATGAAACGGGTGACTTTGTCCAGCGCCATTATTGCTTCAGCTGATCCAGAAAGATATAAGATCGCGGTTTCTAGAAGCTTTCAACTGCACGTGGATTTATTCTCGACAATCAGTTGCACGTGACGACGACACTTCCATAATGCGCGCTGACTGTCATATTTACAATACTAGTCTAACTAATATTATTTGCATTCATATGTGAGATGTGTTATCGCCCATAATTCAATGACCAGTGTACCGTATAAAATAACAAACCAACTGAGCGACCCACACAGTAAAGTCTGTATCTTCCGCATCAATTAAATCTTGCTTTAAACTGGGTTTCCTCATGCAACAGTCTCTTATTTGAGAGAAAACTATTATTATTTATAACTGGAAATCAAGAAAATCCTTCATTTTCAAAGTCAGTAGATATAGAATTCCATTGATGAAAAGCATTTATATACCCAACTCATTCTTCTAACAGGATGCTAATATCACACTCACCACTACAAAGGACGTGACTATCATTATTTGTGATTCTCAGGCTATCCCTTCCATTGTGATTCCGCAGACAATAAAGTGTGCTGTTTTGACGAATTTTTCTACAAATCAAAGAAGCTTAACTTCCAAAATGTTTCAACATAAAACACCACAAGTATATGGAGTTTGATATTACCTTTTCCAGTATCAGTTTCTATAATCGAAGCGTGTCAACCTAGTCAAATCAAAACTCGGAAGCGAAGATTTTCGAAGATATATTTGATAGACTGTTTAGTCTAAGCTGGTTAGCAGTTGTTGGAGAAGTTCAGCACAGCGTTCCCACAAGTGGTTTGGTCAGGATTTATTTACGAGCGCTTTCAGCTAGATTACGTTCAACTTACTTGGTCTGCATGAAGACTTAAACAGCAGCCTGACCAGTACAGAAAACTTATGAGGATGTGGTCATTCTGAATCAGTCCACTTCATTTCAACCGACCATTCATACGTTTCACCAATAAGCTACCCGAGGACTTGGAGTCCATACTCAAAACGTATCCTGAACTCTGGAAAATATCGGCGAGATTCGCGTGGATGAATACATATTTACTCCAATTACCACTCGTAGAAGAACGATAGACAGCCCACCAGCACTCTCCATAGAACTCTGTCCTCGACAATCCTTCCCAGTTGTTGTTTGTTCTTTTGATTTCTGCCTCCAATTCCCGGCGCAATGTGTTCCTCGGTCTTTCTCTTTCCTTTTGACTTTAAGATTCCAGGTTGGAAGTTGCCTAGTGGTGCAACTTGACGATTTCCGTAATTTATGTCCTATCCACTTGAGGTGTCTTTATCTAATGTCCGCTTCAATTGGAAGCTGCTTTACCCTCTTCCACAGTAGTATCTGATCAGCGAACATTGAATATCCTGCGTCGATAACTGTTTTTGAATTCCTGTACTTTTTTGATGTTTGTAGTAGTTCTCCAAGTTTCAGCTTTGTACAGTTGAACGGTCATGACGTTCGTATTGAAGACTGCAACTTTGTTGTTGGTTGATAGTTGTGAAGATGGCACAACGCCTTTACCAGCAATACCTCCTAATATAATTTGTACCCACCGAGCGAAATCAAAAGACAGAGTCGAGGAGATCGGAAGAGTGTATTTGGCGATTACCAATATATCGTAATTCTCTGATCTAATCTGGCTAGCGACTGCAGCGTTAACACATGTGATCTGGTGCGGATGCATGACCGAGCGCCTTCAGCTAGATTAGTCCACTAAAACATATGGTCAGCATCCAATGTCGAAAACTTACAGAGCTATTTATTTTGAGGATTTATTTACAGCTGCAGTTGTTTTGACTTCTATATATTCTCTAATTATAGACATGCTACGCTTTCTTTGCCAATCTTTGCATTCGTGTGTGCATCAGATCCTTCATGTTCGTCGATGATGCTGCCCAGATATGTGAGTTTTTCCACCTGTTGCAGAGTCTTCATTAAGTGTGATTGAGTTGGTGTTTTTCGTGTTGTATCTGGGGTTTTGCTTTTTCCCTTTGTGTATATTGAGGCCTACTGAATCTGCGAATAGCGATATGACTGACCACGTCGCGACAACACGAACAACTGTATTCTTTAAAGTATGGCAATTTTCGTTCTGTGAGCTGAATGGTTTAGCCATGGAACTTTTATCGTTTTTCTGAACACTTCACTTCCACCTGAAATTTGTGCTGACGATATCGTTCAGAGGAACGATGAATGCCCCACGAACAAACCTTCTAGCTCAGAGAACAAATCTCCATCATATTCATCCACGTGAGCTACAAGTCTTTCTCACCATCTCAGTTGCTTTGAAAGATTCTCCGTGGTTCCCAAGACAGTTTGACATTATTATGAAAACTAGTGGAACGGATCAATTCCCTGTAGAAATCGCAACCTTATTACCGAAATGTAACTTTTTTCATTAGGAAGAATGCACTCCTAGTGATACCCATACTTTGATAATTAGAGGAAGCTAATGCATCCAATAAGTCGTTTTGAGATTAAACGAAAACGCAAATCATGGTTGAGGTTGTCAGAGAAGGTCTTCGATAAGCACAAGTTAGCCAGCAACATCTCATTCGCAACACTCCTGTCAAACTATGTCCTGGAACAATCCAATAAAATTCTGTCCATCATCAAATCTCTTTTAGGTAATTCGTAGTTAAAAAAACCCCCGCTAGACGGGTTTGAGGTAGCCTACTTGTACGACTAGAGTGAGAACAACCCTATGATAACGACTAATGTATGAACCAAGCTATGCTTTCAAGAAGCTACGTTTACACAGCAGAATCGCACTTCGCTGTTGCCTGTTCAGAGTAAATCGTGTTGCCGGGTGAAGAACACAGATAATTAAGGTAGAGTCAGCGATCTGTCATGACGATATTTCGGATTAATCTGACAATACGAATACGCCCAAGTCAAATAAACACAGAAATATGGGGACGAAAATGTGGAAAAGACTAGCAGTATTTTTCATCTTTCTTAATAAACCAGGCAACTTCGGAAAGTTGAAACGAAAAGCTAGACAGAGTAAGCTCAAGTATCAGCTGCTGAGAAGACTTAATAAAATATTTCTGAAAATAAGCTTAAATTTATGTCCATTTTAAAATGACGCTCAAATTACCATTGTAAACACAAATTTAAGTGGTTTGTTTTTTATAGTGATACATAAAAACCTAAAAGAGCTGTTTGCAATATATATATATTTGACATGTGCTAATTTTAGGAACAAACGCTGAAAGACCAGTTCTGAAAAAATAGCAATCTCGTTGAGCGGTTATCGAAATAAGTTACAGACTAGTACTAATATGTTAACGAAGGCAAACTATATAAAGATATCACGTAAGTATCTTTTTCTTCATATTAATGTATAAACTAGGTAACAAAGTAATAAGAGTAGACTGAAAATACAAATTAGGATAAATATCTTAGTTAATTGTAATGTACCGTTCCTTAGGTATTGTGGATGTAAACCAGGAAAAAAAGGAAACAGGTAAAATTATTCAAAATTAAGGCCAAACAGACGAACAGAAAAATGGGTAAAATAAGATTTGACTAGAGGAAATACGATTTTATCGATCACGTTGTAGAAAATTCGCTGCAACATGTAGAAGAGCCTTTCTTGATAAAGAATCCCTGAATTGAAATAAACATCTTTGAGCTGCCTGGAAATGAAACTCAGCTAACATTCGAGTCTGACCAACTCCATCGGACTGCAAATCACCAACCAATAAAAGTAAAACAAAAGTTGACCAGAAAAAATTACGTTACTAAAGTCAGAAAATATAGACTATCGAATTAACGTCATCAAAAATGAATATTACTGCTAATGAGATAGTGTAGTTTCTTAAAGAATTTTTAGATGTGAATAGTTGGATAAAGAAAATGAAAAATTTGCAATACAGCTAACGTTAAATTTATCTGTATCCCAAACCTTGATACAGTATTAGTGGTAGTAGTTGAAAACAGAACGTTGGAAGTAAAACCAATAAAGGTTAAACTTTTGACAGTAAAGATCCCTCTACTAAAAGCCTTGCGTCAAATAATGTACCGTTGAAAATGGTTTTGCAAAAATATTTGTAGGTTTACAACCAGGTACTTCACCTGGTTTTTTCTATGCAGAAAGGTCAAATTGTTTAATGAAATATTGACATGGCATTTTCTAGATTTGGAACATATGGTAGGTTAAACTAGTTGAAGTTAGATTGTGTTTAGATGTACAATGGTAGCGCGCCATTATAGCTTAGTCAATGTAAAATTTAGTTGTAAACTCTTTGGTCACACGTCTCATCTAATTTAATCTGAGTAGCTCAGTAATTTATAAATAAGAAAAGTAATTATTAATCTGCATTACTTAACAAATTAGCATGTGGTATAAATCCTTCATAGACTAGTGTAATAAAAACTAATGAAGACAGTGGAACGGAAAAAATAATTTATGATAATTAGTACACAAGACAAATTGAGAAAGAATGTCCACGGAATAAAATGCAATCAAAATTTTAGGTTTGGTTAAACAACACTAAGTTTTACCCTAATGTTGATGGACATCCATTACAGATGTGTAAATAACTATTGTAGATGCTTCGTACGGTAAAATTGTGATAAGATTTGACTAAATAACCTAATAATTTCAATAACTCACGTTATCCCAATAAGTAATCACGTCTGAAAATAAACTCCACGTTGTCAAGCCATTTGAGTGTATCGTAGTCAGTAAACAAGGTTACGTTTTTATTTACTTAGTTATTCAATTGCAGATATGTTGTAATAGTTTATATTATAGAATTAATTGGAGGCATGACTTTTGCTATGTTGTAATTTTTTCTATCATGACTAACTGAGCTACACTTGGCACAACCGTAGCACGATGGAGAGTAGTTTAGTTGTCGAAAACTTCACATTTTGCATGTAAGCCAGCATAAACGAAACACACCTTCCATTACGGATCACGATGGTGCAAATGATATTTCCCACTTCGTTTTGACTGGTAGCCAGGTGTAAGTGAAAATTGTGAAGGAGAGCGTTCGTTCTCACTCTTAATCGCCAATCAGAAATAAAATGCTTTGCAATAATAGAAGATACCGATATTAAAAAACCTCCATACTTTTAAAACCACATATCTAACGGAATATGTACAACCTAAAAACCCTACTATTTTTCCAACTAACTACAATTATGGCAGTCAATACTTTCATTAGCAGCTATCATTAGACAGTGGATCCAATCTTTAGAACAATAGGCATCTGATTCGAAATTGAATGGGAACATGAAAAAGCTGAATGACGATACATCCAGCTGATGAGTTCCAAGTACAGAGACAAAAATTATTTCTGGGGAACAAACACTTTACTGTTACCTGTTTAACTAATTCTAAAGCTCTTTCAGTATCCCCATCTAAACTGAATTGCCGCAGCAGTATGGCGTTTAGTTCAGGATACTAAAAATTGAAAAAAAGAAACAACGCACTGATAGATTGTTAAGCACCTTTTCTAATCAAATAAATATCACTGCGATAATAAATGCTCCAATTTTGAGTAGATCATTTCATCGAAATAGAATTAAAAGTAATTTTTGGTACGTAGCTAATTAACTACTGGTTTACTGAAAAGAATCTTGTGACCTACTATCAAACTACTTTATGATAAAAGTAGAAATACTGCAGGTCAGATTTCTAGTTTACCACTTAGTAGGACGTATTTACATGTTCCATTATCAAACAACATATGAATATTTATTTATATTTGTATTTAAGTATACTGGAGATAGCATTATAATTTCTGTTAAAGAATATAATCATTACATCCAAATGAAACAGTCGGTAAACTTTCGCATACAAGTTATAGCGGTTCAACACAATTATATTACACCGACAAATTTAAAATGCGGTTAATCATCTCAGATAATCAGAACGGTTTATGAAATAAAAGTTTAGTGAGACATATGTAGTGAATTGATGAAACAAGCCTGTACAAGTCATCCATTAAAAAAATAATAAACACATATTTGACAATTAAACGCTTATATTAATACTTATCGAAATACTTGTGTGCACATAAAATTGATTATATTTCTGCTTATATAAATTACTGGTATTTTGGAAGCAACTTAGTTACTTGTTTCTTTAATACGTATTTAATTAGTACTGAAGTCAAAGTATAAGTATTATTTGCATCCATTGTAAATCTTTAGTCTATCTGTTGATTATTAGTTGGAGAGCGGATTGGAATTTTGATGCTAAACCGTTCCCGATATGCCAACACTTTCTTGTATTTGATAGGATTTATAAGGTTGATGTTAATGTTTCATCCACGTTGTAATTAAATTATTGGAAATCGGACTGTATTTCTATCCCGTACCAACAATCCCTCAATGGGTTTTTATGTTAGGACTATTAAGGCAAGATAATACTTGCACTACATAAAATCTAATGGTAGGCAGCGGACGACTAATATGCAATACAGGGAGAGAAAAGTAATCTTTTTAAGTGAGCTGACTAAACACCAGTGAATATGCAGTATTTGCATGAGTTGCATATTAAGACGCAGATGATTACGACTAATTAGTTGGAAGAAAGATCAATTACAAATGGTATTGACGGCTTATTAACAAGGTGCTAAATGAGCACACAAAAGCAACAAATTGACAAGGTTGATATTCGTAGAGGAATTTCTAACATCTCAGCCCTCTGTTTGAAGTCAAGCTTCTGCAAGAATATAAGTAAGAACCTGCAGTGACTTCAATCGCCCTTATAAGACATTCAGGAGTGTTTAGAGTATGAATTTATTAGACGATTTAATAACATTACATATAATTAAATATGTGCAAATCATTTTGTAAACTATTATTTTTATGATTATGAAAAAGCATTCGACAGTGTAGATAGGAGGACATTATGGAAACTTCTTCGACACTACGGAGTTCCTGAGAAGATTGTCAACATTATCCGGAACTCATACGACGGACTACAGTGCAAAAACGTGCATGGAGGACAGCTGACAGATGCATTCCAAGTAAGGACCGGAGTCAGACAAGGCTGTTTACTCTCTCCCTTCCTCTTTCTTCTGGTGGTCGACTGGATTATGAAGACCTCGACATCTGAAGGAAAACACGGAATTCAATGGACAGCTCGAAATCAATTAGACGATTTGAACTTCGCAAATGACCTAGCCCTCCTATCGCATACACACGAACAGATGCAGACAAAGACAGCTAGTGTAGCAGCAGTCTCTGCATCAGTAGGCCTCAGTATACACAAAGGGAAAACCAAAGTCCTCAAATTCAAAGCGGAAAACAACAATCCAATCACTCTTGATGGCGACACTCTGGAAGATGTAGAATCCTTCACATACCTGGGAAGCATCATCGATGAACAAGGAGGTTCAGATGCAGACGTAAAGTCAAGGATTGGCAAAGCAAGGACAGCATTCCTACAGTTAAAGAACATATGGAACTCAAAACAACTTTCAACCAATATCGAAGTAAGAATCTTCAATACCAACGTCAAGGCAGTTCTACTGTATGGAGCTGAAACTTGGAGAACTACAACAACCACCATCAAGAAGGTACAAGTATTTATAAATAGCTGTCTACGCAAGATACTCAACATCCATTGGCCGGATACCATCAGCAACAGCCTTCTGTGGGAGAGAACAAACCAACTTCCAGCTGAAGAAGAAATTAGGAAAAGACGATGGAAATGGATAGGACATACATTACGCAAATCGTCAAACTGCATCACGAGGCAAGCCCTAACTTGGAATCCTGAAGGGAAGCGAAAAAGAGGAAGGCCAAAGAACACATTGCGTCGGATAATAGAAGCAGATATGAAAACGATGAATTACAACTGGACGGAGCTAGAAAGGATTGCCCAGGACAGGGTTGGATGGAGAATGCTGGTGAGCGGCCTATGCTCCTTCACGAGGAGTAACAGGCGTAAGTAAGTAAGTATTTTTATAGTGAAATTCAATTTCGGAAAATTATATATAATATTTGAAGTTATAATGCTTTAAAAAATAGTAAGATGTTGGAATGATAGGTGGATTTAGATAAGTAAATTCATTATGATGGCAATTTGTTTACTCTAATTCAATAAAATCAAGCATTGAGTTTCGTAACATTTGAATGAGATTAAACTTTAGTCGTACATTACACTATTTACAATATTTTGACAATAACAATCGATATTCGTTTTTTCTATTACAATAGGAACGTGAGTGACCTGTTAATTTCAGTAATCGGTGAGATGATGATATTTAAATCTTAAGAGAATAATTCGCTCTAGCTTTCAATACACGTGAAGTGACTACATCACTCGTGCCACCACTAACACTAACACAGCTACCCGGATACACAAGCTTCTTGGCTATTACTAATTGCTCACTAACAAAAGTTAGTACCGGCACAGAGTCCAGCCAGTCATTTAAAAGTACTTTATACTTTGAGGGTGAAATACACACGCCAAATATACGTTCAGTGACTGCTAGTTGATTAAGTGCGGACTGCATAACCTGAGTATCATCTGGCAGTTAGATAATGTAATCCCCATACTAAAGGATGAAAAGTCTGTTAATAAACTTCTCAGGCACACCCTTATTCAACAGACAATCCCAGAGAACAGTCCTGTCCAACAAATTGAAGGCAGCCCTGATGTCAAGAAAACACAACGATTGTTGGCTCGTAATGATTATTATTTGGCGGGAAGCGAAGGTATGGCTAATGCATTTTCGACCAGAACACAAACCAACCCACTCGTTGCGAGTCAATCATTCACGGGTCCTGAGAAAATTGCGAAGTACGACGGAAGCCAATAATTCGGACACAATTGGAAGTAGACTTATACCCCGATAGTTTTTGTATAGATGTAAAGGTTTTTGAAAGATAGGAACGACTATCAACTTCCTTATTCCCAAACTTTTTTAAACAATTCAGTCAGTTTAACAACCAGAAGGTCGCCACAATACTTGAAGAGGGCCGGAAGCAAGTCATCTGGGCCAAGTGATTTGTGGACTTCTAAGAGTCGGAGTTGCTTGTAAACTTCTGCCTCATTAGGTGGATCGGTCGATACTGGCCAGGGATGACAGAACATCTTGATGGAGTTTTGTTCTCTGAGCTAGATGGTTTGGTCGTGGAGCTTTCATCGTTCTTCCGAAAGACATCATCAGCACAAACTTCAGGTAGAAGTGGAGTGTTCAGAAGAACGATGAAAGCTCCACAACCAAATCATCCACCTGAGCTACAAATCTTCACCATCTGGAGGACAGAACAGTTTATTGAGGTCGCCGGGACAGCAGTTAGTGCTAGCCAGAAACAAGGTGTAGTTTGTGCAAGGTTCTAGTAGATAGTCCATCGTCCAAGACACCAATAGATGTTATTGATTGGAGTCCAATAAGCTTCGCAAGTTTTTTCAACCCCAACATACTTCCTGCTGCCGGTGGCTCGGATGAGTTGAAAAGGCTTCCGGAAGTTACCAGATGCAGCTGTTGCTTCCAACTCGTTAGCAGGTTCTGATCACCACGTTTTTCGGTCCTCATGCAAACTTTGCACAATTTCATTACGTAACAACCCATAATCGTCGTCAAGCTCGTGGTTAGCCAAAGTAGACCGACTTGCCTCAACGAGTTGCAGAGAGCTGGTAGAAACCCAATGCTCTTAAGCGGGATATTTCGCGGAGCTTCAAGAGGCTCTATTCGTCATTTCAGTGTCGTCATACAAGTGTTGCGAGTGCTCATTATCACGTTCTCAAATTGATTACGGCAGAGTACGATATACAACTAACGGCACTTGAATGTATAGAACCCCACTGTCGCAAATCCGAAGACAAAAGAAGCGAGGGAAATGACTATACGGTAAGAATCAAAAATGTACAGAAATGAACGGGTATTTTTATGGTTATTAATATAGGCTAGAGCATCATTAAAATTCAGCCAATCCACAAGGAGGTAAGTTATGCCACCGTACAATCGTAGCATTCTAGAAGACTCTATCGAATTCTGATTGGATGGAATCTCTTCGGCTTCTTTATAGCTTCTAAAGACTTCATCGTAATTCGCGAAGCCGTACCGAAACTCGTCTATACTTTTCAGTCAGTTCATAACAAGCATTAAACTTAGCTTAGTTTGATAGTCAGTTGGGACAGAAGATGTATCCAGTATGTTCATATCGATCTATCTAAGATGATGAATTTGTTAGCCATTGAAACGTAAGACGAGATTAGCGCAAACAGGGACATGATCAGAGTCTAGATAAGTACTGCAAAGGGAGCGGAAGTATTATACATAAACACCCCAGGGCCGGCTGATCACAATGTGATCAATCTGAGTCCAGGCTTGAGATAAACAGGGATGCCAGGTAGCATATTGGAAATGACTGTGTCGATAGTCGTCCTCAAATAACCTGGTACACTTTAGGATGAAGAGAGTCTGCTCTCCTGCTCAAAATGTCCTTACACAGTCACGCATATAACGCCACTGACAGGGAAGTCCTGCTCACTGCCTTCTCGTGGCAGGGGTGTCGGTTACGTAACTGGAAAGTGAATGTCCAGCGTTTTATGCGGGGTGGTGGTAAAGCTAGTTAAAAACAGATTGTAGTCTGAACAAAACTGTAGTAGACAATCGCCGTTAATTGAGCTGGGACCAACAAGTTTTCATTGACCACCCAAACGACTCTCCTGTGTCTAGAAAACCGACCTGTGTATATAAATCTGTGGTTAGTACTATAATATTTGTCCAATGTAATTTCTGGTGGTAGAACTCCTCCCTGACTGAAACACGACTGCAATCTGTCGGGGATATGTAAGAGGAGATCATAAAAAGACATTATTTCTTACATCGACTCCTCAATTTAATAGAGCTTTCTACTCTAACTGTTGGAATATTCACAAAAATATCCCAAAAATTATCCTGTTAAGTCTAATGTTATCCTTGAACGTGAAATGGCGTCATTTTTCTATTGGTCAATATTTATTTCACGTGTATTGTGGACCGCGGGGTGGCTACTCTAATTTCTACCGACTGACCAAATTCAGATATCAAAGTACGATCCCAATACTGTTCCCCAATCTCCAATATATCAGAACACGAACCGTATATGAAATTGTTTATGGGGTCAGGAGAAGAATAAGAATAAAAATGATACTTTACAGACAAATGCATATTTATACAGTTAGGACTACCATGAATATTGACCGACAGGAAAATGACACGTGAAATAAATATTGACCAGTAGGGAAACGGCACGTGAAATAAATATAGACCGATAGGAAAATGACACCGTTTCACGTTCAAGGATAGCATTAGACTTAACAGGATAATTTTTGGGATATTTTTCTGAATACCCCAACACCTTCCTTTGGAAAAGTCGGTAGCGACGTAACCGAGGGTTTACTTGAAATTTTTTTTGAGTGTCTTAGTTTGAGATCCGATCTCCAAGGTAACCACCCAGAACCAGAAGGATGTTCTATGATATCTTTTGTGGTCCCCTCCCCTCGTGCTTTAAGCATGGCTTGTTTAAATGTATCAACAAACCTTTCAGCTAGTCCATTAGATTGCGGGTGATATGGCGGAGAACAGACATGGTTGATCAAGTTTTGCAGGCGAAATTCTCGGAATTGTCTAGATGTGAACTGTGAATCATCGTCTGTTACTATTGTTTCTGGGAGACCATGCTGAGCGAAGATCTGATTAAGGAGTTTGATGGTTCGAGTTGTAGAGGGTGGCGCAATTGGCAATATCTCCGGCCATTTGGAGTGAGAGTCAACCAGTATCAGATATGTAGTACCATCTGGGGGTCCGTTGAAGTCAATATGCACTCGCGACCAGGGTTTTTGTAACTTTGGCCAGGGTACTGAAGGCAACTTAGGGGGATTTTTCGCAGCTGTTTGACAATGTGAACATCTTTTGACGAAGTCGACAAGCTGTTTGTCAATGTTTGACCAATATGCATAGCCGCGAGCGATGGATTTCATACGGTTTGTCTCTGGGTGTCCAGAGTGAAATTGGCGTAGGGCCTTGTAACGTAGGGTTGTTGGAATTACTACGCGATCACCGAACATTAGACAATCGTTAACAACACAGAGGGCGCTGCGACGATTCTCTAGTTGTTGCATATCACTACTCAGCTGCTTAACTGGCCATCTGCTCGGAACACAGGTGATCGCTTCTTGTATAATCGGGTCTTCTATGGTAGCTTCCCGAACATCTTCAGCGGTAACAGGCATTGCCCGAACGGCATTCGCTAAGTGTTGCACCTGAATCCTCTTCCGTTGATTTCATGGCTATGATTGTGTCCTCATCAGTGGTAGAATGGTTACTGATAAGTCTGGACAGTGCATCTGCTTGACCGAAATCTTCGGAAAGTCTATACTGGATGTCGAAGTCGTACCCCAATAACGCCAACGCCCAACATTGGAGACGATTGGCAGGAATGCTTCTCTTTGATTCAAAGATTGATAACAACGGGTTATGGTTTGTGAGAAAGGTGAAGCGGCGTCCGTAAATGAATTTGTGTTCTGATATATTGGAGATTGGGGAACAGTATTGGGTTCGTACTGGGATATCTGAAGTTAGTCAGTCGGTAGAAATTAGAGTAGCCACCCCGCGGTTCACAATACTAACAGTACACGATCGACTGTTAATAAGGATCCAATCGGTTAGTGCTACCTCAATTCTAGCGCTTAGTGTGACACTGACGCTAGCAAAACCAGACGGAAATACCATAGGGTCCCCAGATAAACGCAAGCAAAACAAGCCTTTCGAAGCAATAGATAGAAAGAGAATTTGTAGCAATTCACTAGTCTTGAGTGCGGGTCTTAGATATACAGCAGACATCGATGTTAAGACTTTCTAAAGAAATAGTTAACCCTGTCTGTTTTTCAATCTGCATTAGTGTACCAACGTTAAAGGAGGGTAGTCTGAATGACATACATGGTTTCAGAAAGGCTGCGTCAGAATTCGTATTCGGTGGTGGCATTCAACCTTCGACCAGTTAGTGACCCGAGATCGTCTAGACAGGACATGATTTTGACCATACGCAAGGTGTTGTATGAGTTGCAAAATAAAGGAATACACAAAAATGGGAATATACTAGTGAAGCAATATCAAATAACATCGAATGCTATTGAATAGTTGTGAGTGTAATTTATGAGGATGAGGATTGAAGCGAAGATAATATTTTGGAGCTGAAGTTGTCATTCACGGTAGACAAAATCTAAATACAGACCATGTATGATGGTAACCTAACTACCTACTTAATCAGAACTTACTCTTTGGGCAGCGAACAACACAGGTCCAGTTGCAAGACCCATTTGTAGGTCTGCCCCACTAGGTTTGCCCAGGTTCGCCTCATCAGTTACAAAGTCCAAAACATCATCGATTAATTGAAATGCCATTCCCAAATGTTTGCCAAATTCGTACATATTATCAATGTGACGCTGAGATAGCGTTGGGACAGTCAACATAGCAACCTAAATGGAAATTTTTAATCTAGTCAAGGAATAGAAAGTAAACTTTTTACAATAACCAAAAAGATATACACAAAATCTGTCAATTATCTCCTATAATTTCAGATGATACGAAAACTGGAAGATATGTGGGCTAAGACATTAACTGATAACAACTCGTCATACACAATTCGGTTTAATCTCGACGTGACTTTTACCACTAACTGTTTTGATTGCAGCATTACCATTCGGTGATAAATCCCAATTTTGCTTATCAGATTTTTTTATCGTCAGTACTGAAAACCAAACAGAGATAGTTCGTCGACAGCTTTTCAAATTAGGGTGATTATTTACTGTAACGACTATAAAAATTAAAAATCTTTAGTAGATGACAAACTGAATGAAGAACTATTGTAACGTGATTCCAGCGAACTATCAACAAAACACCGTAACTCAGAATGTGGTCATGGTAATACCTACATGATTTATTTTGACCATCACTGATTTAGATCAGGGGAGTGAATTAAAAATGAAGTGTGTTAAATGATGATGGATAAGACAAACATCAGGTTGGCATTCGTGCAATCTTTAAAGTGGTGACCAAGTGGTTTAGAGTGTTTGACTTTTAGTCATTGAGTCGTAGGTTCGAACTCCGTTCCACTTACTTGGTTTTGGGCAACCAAATAGTATCACTGGTAATTACACTTTGAGTGTGGTTCAAAGCACACTACATTAAAATGTTATTCCTGATGAAAAGTTAATAATAGTACTAGTAATAATATCTTCACAAAAGAATCGGGAAAGTCCATTTTTATATACTGAGTTCTTCCCAGATCTTAATTAAATTTTGAATAAAACCAATATCTCCTCATAAAATGTACTAAAGTTTTGTCAAAAATTAAGGTTATCTCAAAAAGTAACTTTTGAGCTACGTTGACCATTCCCTTAAGCACCTTAGAGAATATTTCTACACGGTTTATGTCATTTACATCCACATGAGACGTTTCATATACTTCGTGCTTAGAACCATACATTTTCTCCCGACGATCGCAATTTCAAAACCTAATGAGTCGTATTTATATGACTCAGTTAATGTGATAACTACATTTTAGATGTTAACAAGTATGTATATACTTATTTGCATTCGTCGAAGGTAGCTTATACTCATGGTCACGACAAAATAATAGATATTTTATTAAGGTGTTTTCCTAGCAGTCAGTCAGTCAACTACAATGTAGGACCAGGCACATATATCCATCGGTCCAAGTTGCCATACCTCATTAGCACAACAAGATGAATACCGAATTCATAGAAGTTGTCATTTCAATGGTAGTTATATATAAAAGGAAGATTGAGCATAAGGACACTACAGAAAGAATTAGTTGGTAGAAAGAAAGGTAGAAAGCAATGTTAATCTCACAGTTTAAGGGAAGACAGAGAGTGTATACACCTACGCAATTGGGATTGACTCTGAGCCATGTCACCCAGACCCCAACCAAGTAGTCTGCATCTACCAACAATGCTCAGGTCAGAAGTGACTTCAAGCACTGATGCCACGTTTTGTTTCGGCCGCCCTTAACTTTTTTCCAACCATCCCCAACACCCGTTAGCATTGCACGTCGTGGTAATCGGTGTTCAAGCATACGCAACACGTGGCCCAACCATCTCAGTCGATTAAGAATTTCAACCTCATCAACTGATTTACCATCATTCCCTAATACCCTGCGTCTAACCTCACCATTACTTACCCAGTGATCCCTGCAGATGCGAGCAAAATTTATAAGGCATCTGTGGTCAAACACTAGTAGCTTACGACTATATTCTACTTTTAATGGCCACGTTTAGCAATCATAAAGTAAAACAGAACGAACTACCGTGCAGTATACTCGTCATTTGATTGAAAGACGGGTAACTCGACTTCGCCATAGGTGACGTAAGTTGGCAAGAGCCAAACGAGCTTTTCGAATCCGTGTTGAGATTTCGTCATACACCAACCCATTAAGGCTGATCAGAATTCCAAGATCAGTGAAGTTGTCAATGTGTTCGACTACTTCACTCCCTATCCTTAGTTCAGGTGTTGACGCAGGTCAGTCCTGAAGCAACAACTTGCATTTAGAGGGAGAGAAGCTCATTTCAAACATTCTGGCATTGTTGCTTAATGATACCAAACGACTCTGCATTTTGTCAGCGTCTTCATCAAACAGGACTATGTCATCTGCGTATTCTAAGTCGATAAGTGGACTTCCTGGTGGGAGATCAATACCTGAAAATTCAGTAGACGAGAACGTTATTTACATCAGGTCTATGATGAAGTTAAACAAAAGTGGAGATAGTGGACAGCCTTGACAAACACTACATGAGGTTGCAAAAGCAGATGACAGTTCTCCATAAGCTCTGACTCGACTGGTAGTGTAGTGTGTAATTTCCTATAAATAACTTATTTGATGTACGTATTATATGAACACTTAAGGAGGATGAAAACTTTGTGGAAGAGGTTGGTATAATGGTCCTGAACTAATGACCAACCTTGCCTGCATTGGTACTCAATAAATCTAAAATCTATCAAATTCATAAACTAGAAATACTATTATATATATATATATATATATATATATATATATATATATATATATATATATATATATATATATATATATATATATATATAAGCTTACTGCTTTACAGCTGTTAGCAATAAGACTCGCTGTTTTTCGGTAGGTTTTCGTCAGATAGGTTTGAAACCTTTTATCATCATCATCGCTGTTGGGTGCAAGCTGCATCATTTCACCTATAAACGAAAAGTGATTAACATGGAATAAGGAGACGAACCATGAATGAGATCTTCAATAACTTGAGAAAGAACAGCTATCACTCCAGTATCTCCTATCTGGGCTAATAAACGAGATGAATGAGTCAGTATGAAGTCGCCTCCCAAAATTGCCTGAAGAAAAAGCGTGCAAACATTTTGGAATAATGCACTTAGGGACTTGTTAAATTTGAGTTAACAAAAAGCTAGAACTGATATACTATGTGCACAATGGAAAATATGGATTGGTTTAGACAATAATAATGTAGAAAAGCCATTAATCATTATATATGACATTCATCTGGTAACGACTAAAATATAAGGGAAAATATAAGCCGTAAAATTTATTTCTTATAAACAAAGGTGGTTAAGATCCATTGTAACATGAATTATTTTATATGACAACAAAACTAGTTTTTGAAACTTAGTAGTTGATGTAGACTGCGTGGTTGTGGTTCGCTAGTCATGATCAGTGGTTGATATTAGGTGACATGGCTTAGAGTTGTTCGCCGGGAAGCAAATGGATTTCCTCCTCATGTTGCTCCAGACATTGTTTTTCATAATTCACTCAAACAAATTTTTTTAACATTCTAAGTGATTAGTCTTTCTCACAATTATTTATGCCATTGTTTGAAGCATTTTGCTGCTCATCCTGTTAATTTTTAGCTGTTGCGCTGATTTGATTCGGCAACTTGAGCTGATCCATATTTTCAACAGATTCTACACAAATTGCGGATGAAGTTTGTTCCTGGATATTTTCAAAACAACTGTTATTTGCACATAACTTATATTGTTCGTTAAACTGCATCAAGGTATTCTCAAACTGTTGTTGCAGACTAGTGATACGAATACACTAAACTGTACAAATTCAAATTTATTTCGGTGGTAAAGAAAAACCCGAAATGAACCAGTGCAAAATAGTCATGTTTTTGTTTCCCCACATAAGTTTTTTGCTGATTTGACATTTCTTGGAAAGAGTACAGCACCTTTAACTTTAGTAATACATGACAAGAGCCAACATGCTTTCATCTCTTACATAAAGTAACAACACCTACCAACCACACCTGCATGTCAATATATGAAAAATGACATGTCATTTTATCAATAAAAACAAATGGTAAAGAGCCCATTCCTAGCGCGCAACAACGTTTGAAGGTGGTAGCATTCGGTTGCATGTCCCATAGTGACGACAATGTACTTTGTTTAATCTAAAAGAACAACTGAGAGTCACTCTTCTAGAGGTGTTGATTAGTCTTCAGTCAGAAGGATAGGAGGTCTATCGACCTATTAAAAATTTTTTAGATCATTACGATTTGCACAGTAATGTTAACTAACCTCTCTATGTCCAAAGGCTTTATAAGCCGATGTTTTCCCTCTTCGGATAGATGCTGAGTCAATCAAATCATCGTGGATAAGACTTGCTGTATGGATCATTTCTGTGATTTTGGCAATCTCATGTTGTTCGGGAGAGACTAAATATGCTAAACAAATCCATTTCAAAGTAAACTGCATACAAAACTTACCCAGATTCCTAGCATGGCTCGATACAGATGACTCATATTTTACAATAAGGGGAGTGCTGCATTCTATGTGTGAATTGGCGCACGCTGCTGCGAGAGTAACAAGCAATGGACGAACAAGCTTTCCCTGAGATTCAAACTGATAGCGTAACAAATCTTGGAATGCTGGAAACGCTGGACATAGACTCTATGATGCGAAAATACTAATAAGGCTGAGCAAGAAACTACGTGTTTTATTTCAGATACAATCAAGTGTAAATCCCTAAGGGCATTTTGTAAAAGCTCCTTGGAGTCGTGGTCTGGAAGACGTGACAAGTAGACACTTGAGTGCGTAAGCCTCTGAAACTTCAAAATACATCAAGTGTAAGTACAAACTTTGACTCCAGCATCAAAAGGCCTATACGTTAACGCCCAACGGAAGACCATCAACTTCAGTAGCGCAGCATTTGAACTCCCACTGATCCTGAAAGGTTGTGATAAGAAGGAGGGCATTTCAATGAATATCATCCAATGCTATGCGCCTACCAACGACTACAATGAAGACGCTAAATATCAATTCTACAATAGGCTGCAGTCAATCGTCGAGAAGTGCCAAACAAAGGACCTGACCACTCTGATGGGAGATTTCAACGACAAGGTTGGAACGGACAACATCAGATATGAAGACATCATGGGACGACATGGACTGGGAGAAAGAAACGAAAATTGTGGGAGATTTGCAAACCTATGTGCCTTCAATAAACTGGTCATAGGCGGCACCGTATTCTCACACAAATGCATTCACAAAACCACATGGACTTCACCGGATCACACCACGCAAAACCAAATCGACCATATCTGCATCAACAAAACGTTCAGGAGGACTATGGAGGACGTGAGAACCAAGAGAGGAGCTGATATAGCATCATATCATCACTTGTCTCCAAGATGAAACTGAAACTCAAGAAACACTGGACAATGGGGCGGACAATATCACAAAAGTTTAATACGGCCTTTCTTCGAGATAATGACAAACTCAACAAATTCAAGTTAGCCCTCAGCAATGAGTTCCATGCCTTTTATGATATATTCAATGGAGAAGGAACTACTATGGAGAGCAACTGGAAGGGGATAAAAGAGGCAATCACTTCAACATGTCATGAGGTTCTGGGTCACAAGAAGCACCATCACAAGGAATGGATCACTGTTGATACACTGGATAAGATTCAAGAAAGAAGGAACAAGAAGGCAGCAATCAATACCAGTCGAACAAGAGCAGAAAAAGCCAATGCACAAGCTGAATACACAGTAGTAAACAAACAAGTGAAGAAGAGCATCAGAACCGACAAACGTAAATATGTGGAAGATCTAGCAAAGACGGCGGAAAAGGCTGAAAGAGAAGGGAACATGAGAAAACTGTATGACATAACAAAGAAACTCTCTGGAAATCGTCGCAAACCAGAACGACCAGTGAAAAGCAAGGAAGTCGAGGTAATCACCAACATTGAAGAGCAACAAAACGGGAGGGTGGAACACTATCATACAGAATTCCTACGATGGATTACACTGCAAAATCGTGCATGGAGGACAGCTCACAGAGTCGTTCGAAATAAAGACCGGTGTCAGGCAAGGTTACTTATTCTCACTCTTCTTCTTTCTCCTGGTGATCGACTGGACCATGAAGACGTCAACATCTGGGGGAAGCATGGAATACAGTGGACAGATAGGATGAAGTTGAACGATCTAGACTTCGCAGATGATCTGGCCTTTCTATCCCAAACGCAACAACAAATGCAGGAGAAGACGACCAGTGTAATAGTAGCCTCAGCAGCAGTAGGTCTCAATATACACAAAGGGAAAAGCAAGATTCTCTGATACAACACAGCATGCACCAATCCAATCACAATTGACGGAGAAGATTTGGAATATGTAAAAACCTTTACATATCTGTGCAGTATCATTGATGAACATGGTGGATCTGATGCAGATGTGAAGGCGCGGATCGGTAAAGCAAGAGCAGCATATTTACAACTGAGGAACGTCTGGAACTCAAAGCAACTGTCAACCAACACCAAGGTCAGGATTTTCAATACAAATGTCAAGACAGTTCTACTGTATGGGGCAGAAACCTGGAGAACCACGAAAGCCATCATCCAGAAGATACAGGTGTTTATTAACAGTTGTCTACGCAAAATACTTCAGATCCAATGGCCGGACACTATTGACAACAACGTACTGTGTGAGAGAACAAACCAGATCCCAGCAGAGGAAGAAATCAGGAAGAAGCGCTGGAAGTGGATAGGACACACATTGAGGAAAGCATACAACTGCGTCACAAGACAAGCTCTCACATGGAATCCTCAAGGTCGAAGGAGGAGAGGAAGACCAAAGAACACATTACGCCGAGAAATTGAAATAGACATGAAAAAGATGAACAAGAATTGGATGGAATTAGAAAAGGAGGCCCAGGACAGAGTGGGTTGGAGAATGATGGTTGGCGGCCTATGCTCCATTGGGAGTAACAGGCGTAAGTAAGTAAGTATTGCCCAAGAAAACTGACTAGAAGTGTTTGGGTTACGTAACGTCAACAATTATAAACCCTTCAGACAACGACGACTGATAACTGAAGTCGTAGATCACAGGTTATATTCACATGAACAGAGCAAGTAATTCAAGACCCACTACGGGTACTTGAAAACTTTTGGTTGATATCGAAAAGCATTAGTTGGACGCAGGGTATTATTTGGGATACTGCAAGACTTATGCAGATGAATATAGCTAGTGTAGCAGCAGTCTCTGCATCAGTAGGCCTCAACATACACAAAGGGAAAAGCAAGGTCCTCAAATACAACACGGAGAACAGTGATCCAATCACTCTTGATGGCGAAACTCTGGAAGATATAGAATCATTCACATACATGGGAACCATCATCGATGAACAGGGAGGTTGAGATGCAGACAAGGGAAGGGAAGGGCTGCATTCCTTCAACTGAAGAACATATGATACTAAAAATAACTTTCAACCAAAACCAAAGTCAGAATCTTTAATACCAACGTCAAGGCAGTTCAACTGTATTGATCTGAAACTTGCAGAACTACAACAACCACCATCAAGAAGGTACAAGTATTTATAAATGGTTGTTCATGCAAGATGCTCAACATCCACTTGCCGGATACCATCAACAACAGACTTATATGGGAGAGATCAATCCAGCTTCCAGCTGAAGAAGAAATTAGAAAAGACAATAGAAATGGATAGGACATACGTTACGCAAATCATAAAACTATATCACGAGGCAATCACTAACTTGGAATCCTGAAGGGAAACGGCAAAGAGGGAAGCTAAATGACACATTACGTCGAGAAATAGAAACAGATATGAAAAGGATGAATAGGGACTGGAAGGAGCTGGAAAGAAATGCTCAGGACAAGGCTGGATGAAGAATTCGGGTGAGCGGCTTATGCTCCTTCACGAGGAGTAACAGGTATAAGTAAGTAAGTAAGTAACTCGTCTCGGATTCACTCATATCCTGATTCTAGGAAAATTTGATCTTCCTAAAATCAACTTCGCTGAACTCTTCAACATTAGAGGTGACAGTTCTACTAAGGCTTGGTTCTTCAACTTCATTGAAGACTTGGGATTATTCTAAAATGTGAAGTCGGCAACTCGTCTGAGAAACAGTCAGATTTTTCTCAGGCTGTTGAATATTTTAGTGGGATCCTTAAGGGTTCAGTACTAGTACCTCCTCATTTATGGATTTATATGAACGGTTTCCCACAGCTGGTGTCATCTGATTTATTACGTTTCGCACTTCAAATTGTAAAGTAGTCCATTTTAGATATGTAGTAGACTAGGAATAGAACTTAAGCAACTCCACTCTAGAGATATCTCAAATTGAGAAAGATCCCAAATGATTTGAAGTCTTACGCTAACTGGGATCAAAATGACGTGCAAGCAAACATTGAATTGGCGACGTTGAACTACGATTTTTGCTTATTCGATATATGCAGTAAACAGAATATCATGAAGATGGGTTCAGGCGTTGAGTAAAGTTAACAAAAACGTGTGGCCGCCACATATATTCGCAATTTTTACTCCACACTGCATCCGATAGAACAAAATATCGGAGACTATGTTTCGTTATCATTACCTTACTTCTGGAACGACGAGGGCAATTGCACACAATTACAACAATACCGAATGGCAGAGTTTGACCAGTCGAAAACTGACGAATAAAGTTACGATGGACAAAGAGTTGCCTTCGGTTCGTGAATATGACTGCACTCTTTGTGGGAGTGTGAATATCTTGCCGAAATAAATGAAGGCGTGAAGAACAGGAGATCGAAGTTTAGTGTGAGTATATATGTAATCGTATGATGAATTAAGTATGACCTCTTAATAAGAAGGAACTTTCCATAAAATATCCTCATAAAAGTGTAATAATGATACTTTACTGAATGTTTCATACGCATACACGCAATATCTCGTAAAAATTAGTGAACTTTAATGGAAGGTGAATATTATATCTTTCTAATTTCAAACTGTCTGCGTCGAATTGCATACATAATCAAATTATCAGTCTAAAAAACTTGAAGTTAAAGTTAATCTATGCCTAAATCGGTGTTACATTTTATGGCAACACTTCTCTCACATGACCTAACGGAAATGAGTTGTCGGATTTTTCAGATTCAAATTTTACATGCTGAGACCATAGTATATTATTAAATACTTGTAATTGTGCTCTAGCCAATAAATGAATAGTTGGTCAACATCATGATGACATTTAAATATTTATATTCGACTGTAATCAGTTTCAATGTTGCTGAACGCGAAAGTGGACCTCTTGTAGTGTTATATTACGTGTAACGTTTTTTCAGTAAAAATGCGTTTTACTGATGAAGTATACATTACCAAATGTCATGATAGTGCATTTAGTGCAAACGTACATATTTGACAGCGAAGAAGTGTTGGAAAATCTGTGCTTTAAATTCCAGATAGTGGTTTCGGCACACAACTGACACGGCGATTGTATACAATCCCAGGAACCAAGTGAGCTTGTTCCGATTTTGATTGTTAATTCCAATACTAATAAGCACATTCTAGATAACAAATAGTTTTTATCCAATACAGTGTCAGACAGACTCAGGATGAACTTAAGGAAACGTACAATCGATTACAGACATTTGGAGTCTAATTTAAGCTGTGGCGGATGTGGCGTTGAATGAACTAATGATTCCATTGTACTTGTTAAATACTTGATTTCGAATTCAAAATACAGTACATTCGTTTGTGCTTATCTAGTACTTCTTGATCCGATTACGTTATATCTGGGATTTTTAGTTCGTACTATAATTTAAATATTCCTAATCATCTGAGTAACGTTCCTTTAGTCTAAGTGCGATGTATTGATACAGTATTCATTATCAAATGTCATCGTAGTGCATTTAGTACGAATATACATGTTTGAAAACGAAGTAGTTTCAATTGTTAACAACAGGAGGCTGAGAGACCTGTGTTAATCGTGACAACAGAAGCACATCTACTGATTCAAACGTCCTTACGATTTCCCCGTTTGCAATCCACATTGCGAAACAACATAAAATCATTTACATGTGTACAACAGAACTAGGCTTTTGAAAATCATTTCTGAAGTGTCTTACTTGACAGTATAGCTACTTATTGTTGAATTTATCTCTCCCTTCTACCACTGAATATGTCAACTACTTCTCAAGAATTGTTCAGCAATATTTTTACACTCATCAATCTTCCTTCACTGAAAGTTTATAATTCGACTCTATTCAGTATTCACCATGAGCTTGTTATTCTGTTATTGTATGAGACTGCAATGTTGAAAATAGATCATGCATTAACGAACTCAATGCAGTGAAATTCTGTGGACTGCGTCTGTAAAGAAAAGAGTGACTTTAAGACAATTTCTTCTGTATTCTGATCATGAGGAAGAAAATATCTCACAAGCAATTATTTCTTCCAACTCTGTCAGAAGAACGAAAAGAGTTTATAAGACGGGAAACCCATGCATCAGAATCACCAAAGCATCTTTCAAGACAAGAAAGAGATCACAACGACTGTTGTCCAGTGCTGCCCACCCACAAATTGTGGTAATAAAAATGATAAAGTCACGTTTTATGGGAGAATCCAGTACATCGCATAGAAATGTACAGAGAGAAACGTGGCTATACTGATGGAGGATCTGAACGTCGAGTCAGTATGGGAGGAACTGAGTAAAGAGGTATAATGGAGTGGCAGAGGTTTGAAGAAAGAACCAACAGTAGTGAACGACTGATAAACTTGTGCTCTAAACAACATGGTTGTTGTTAGTTGTATTCTCCCCTAAAATTGTATATGCAAAGCTACATGGGCTTGACTGAATCACGTTACGGAAAAACAGATCGACCACATCTGGATGAGTAAACTTTGGAAGATATATAGAGAACGCGAGGACAAAGAGAGGAGCTGACAGATTCGGGTCATCCCCTGGTGGTGGCCAGATTAGAATTGATACAAAATAGACGTTGAATAGTTAGACAAACAACACTACAAAAGTCAGAGAAAACGAAAATCCCAAGAAAGCTTTTGGAGATAAGTCAAAATCCAGCTCCAACTTACTAAGAGCTGTTAGGTCGCAATAAACACCACCATAAAGAGTGAATCTCTGTCGATACTCTGAGCAGGATTCAAGAAAGGAAAAACAAGAATGCACAAAGTAACAACAGCAAAACAAGAGACACAGGCGAAATATATGAGGGCAAACAAGAGTGTGGAGAGAAAGATTGGAGCAGACGAGCAAAAACGCGTAGAAGATCTAGAAGTGACCTATGAGAAAGCTACAAGGGGAGGAAATATGGTACTAAAGAAGGGAGATCTTAGTCAGCGTTAGGACTGTAAAGGAATCGAACCACTATTAGTATCGGATGTTTTCGACAAAATAGCACATAAATTGTACTTGAGGACAACTCAAAACGACAGCCCAGGACAGAGTCGTTTAGAGATCCCCGTTTAGCAGTCTATGGCCCACGAGGCGTATGTCAGTAAGTAATCGTAGAACATAAAGTGACCTTATATTAGTATACTATATCTTAAGTAATGATTTGGGTTATACAATTTTCTTAACTTTACTGTCTCCTTCGGAACTCATCATCTTTGATGTCATACAAAAGGATCCAAAAACTGCGACCAGATAAACTGCTAGTGAGAGTCCGTTTTTCTCAGTATGGTAAATGTTTGGAGCCAACCTATCCGAGCTAGTGTCATCAGCCCTACTAGTGAATACTTTAGAAGAGGACCATGATCTCCACTGGAAAACGAGCTACAAGAATCAGCACAGGTTAACCGACCAACAATCCCTGACATTGAGGATTGCGAATGAGTGAAGACTGACCTTGACTGGACAGTGTTACTATAGGTCAGAGAGCCTTGAGATTCACAACTTCGTCAAAGGTAGGCACTGGCTTTTTCAGTTTCTGTAACTCACAAACTCTTCAATTTACAAACTACTTATCGTTCAACATGTTGTTAATTTGGTAGCATATATAAAGTACGTGGGCGAGCCGATCAGGTTTCAGTGCGAGATGTACTCGTAATGTGAATCCTAACAATTCATGTGTAAATGTTCATTATTCCTGTTAAGTCTGTTCATCCACTATTATTGTTAATTTTTTTGCCACAATTTTTATAAGTAAGTAAAGTAGATTTTTAGCCACTTCAAAGTAGCTCAAGGATCGCCCATATATATGGTAGTATATACTACCACCAAGTAATGTACGTAGACCCATTTACTTTTAATACAATAACTCATCTTCGGACTTGGTTTGATTGTATTAGTGCAAGTAAAATCTAAGGCATAATTGTTTGATATGCCGTATACCCTCAAACAGTCCAGTTTATGTGTATACACATGGAGTGCCGTTAGTGAATAGTATACTGTCGCGCCACAGGAATGAAAGACCAGATTTTTTAGACACTATCTGAAGTATTGAAAGCAAAGCTCTTATGTTGGATTTCTGTGCCAATCTAGATTCTGTTCATCTTCTTACTCCTAGTCTGTTAAATTTCAAAGCTTCATATCGAACCGTCAATAAAACATTGCTTTCGCAACTTCTTTGAGCACATCACTGTTTTAATAAGCATGAAGTAACAGGATGACCAAGATGAGCTCAAAGTTGACTTTGCAAATTCGGGCGTGCCGTTCAGATTTTTTCGCAGGTCAGAGTGTCCTGTTGGCGTTCTGCATACGTGTAGCATTTAAAATAATAAAAATCAGCCTGAAATAATAACATGGAAGCTCTTTTTACTGCACATACCCTGACCTTTTTGGTCAGAACGTACTAAATCAGAATATTTTTGCGGATTGTTGGTTTTAGCCTCCAAATTGGTATTTTTCGTCAATTAATACGTTAGGTAGTTTATATGCTGCTCGAATTATCAAACTGTAACTAATTGACGTCACTTGGGTGTGCAATAAGGTCTATTCTAATGACAAGATAACAATTAGATTCGACCGACCATTTTTGCTGTCTAGTACTTTTGTTCTAGGTGTCTTATGTTCAGAGTTTTCCCTTTACATTAACTATTTACTCTGGCATTTGGGTTTGATCTACCTTGGTAAGAAGTTTCTTCTTCGACATGATACAATATATATTCGGTCTCTGCTCTATGCTAACTGACATTTGATAAAAACCCTTCACAATTTCAGGTATTGGGTTCTCCTGCAACATATTTTCAGTTCAGTGCTTTGCAATGATCGCGAACAGTGGTGGGTAGCGAAAGCAAGAGAGATGGAAAAGGCAGCGGCAATAGGTAATAACAGACAATTGTTCAGACTCGTTAAGGAAAACGGAATTAGGAACCCGACCGTTAGCGAAACAATCTCAGAGAAAGGTGGACATATTATTCATTCTCAATCCAGGAGATTGGATCGATGGGCAGAACACTTCAGGGATCAGTTCAACTGGCCTTCAGGCACACTTCGGTTTCCCACGATCCACAGTCAACCTGAATGGCAAGTTAATGTAGGTCCTCCGTCTCTTTACGAAGTTGAAAAAGCCATAGGAAATCTGAAACGAGGGAGAGCAGCAGGCCCTGACAAGTTTACTCCTGAGATTTTTAAGGATGGTGGTCCAGTATTAGCAATGAGATTAACCGAGGTCTTGGGTAGAATTTGGGAACTGGACGTAATCCCATCTGACTGGTCTCAATCACTGATTGTGCCAGTTTTTAAGAAAGGACAAAAGTTCTCTTGTGTCAATCATAGAGGAATCAGTTTGACTAATATAGTGTCTAAAATATTAGCCTCAATAATACTTCGACGCCTAATCAAAGCTCGTGAAGAGCAGATTAGAGAAAACCAGGCCGGTTTTCGACCTGGACGTGGTTGTATAGATTAGATATCCACACTACGTCAGGTTCTAGAACACAGACACACGTTTAGACGCCCCACAATGGTAGTATTTTTCGACCTTCAGGCGGCATTCGACTCTGTTGATCGTGAGGTTCTATGGCAGTGTTTGTCACTGAAAGGAGTACCAAAGAAGTACATTAACCTTATAAAGGCTCTCTACTCGAACACAACTGGTAGAGTGAGAGCTTATGGCGAACTGTCATCAGAATTGATTACATCAAGTGATGTTCGTCAGGGCTGTCCACTTTCCCCATTCTTGTCCAACTTTGTCATTGACGTACTTCTAGAGATGACACTCTCCCCATCTAAATTTCCAGGGGTTGAACTTCTACCGGGAGGTTCACTTGTTGACTTAGAATATGCTGATGACATAGTTTTATTTGGTGAAGACGCTGACAAAATGTAGAGTCTTCTGACCACTCTAAGCAACAATGCAAGCATGTTCGGGATGCGATTCTCCCCCTCGAAATGCAAAATGTTGCTTCAGGATTGGGTTACATCGACACCCGAACTAGTGATAGGGAGTGAAGTAGTTGAGTGTGTCGACCGCTTCACTTATCTTGGAAGTCTCATCAGCCCTTGTGGTCTGGTGTGTGACGAAATCTCAGCACGGATACAGAAGGCTCGACTAGCTTTTGCCAACTTGCGTCATTTATGGCGTAGGCGAGATATCCATCTATCAACCAAAGGACGGGTTTACTGCGCAGCAGTACGTCCCGTCCTACTTTATGGCAGTGAAACATGGCCGGTAAGAGTAGAGGATATTCGTAGGTTACTAGTATTCGATCATAGATGTCTTCGAAACATTGCTCGTATATCATGGGACCATCGAGTAAGTAACACAGTTGTTAGGAAACGGGTACTAGGTAAGGATGGCAAATCAATTGATGAAGTAGTAAAACTTCATCGGTTGAGATGGCTGGGACATGTGTTACGTATGCCCAACCACCGACTACCTCGACGTGCGATGTTCAGTGGTATAGGAGTAGGTTGGAAGAAAGCTAGGGGCGGCCAGACCAAAACATGGCACAAGTCCATGAAGTTCCTGACAAGTGGTCTGAGTCATGTCGTTAGGTGTAGACTAGCTGGTTGGGGACCGCGAGATGATAGCAACCGATGGTTAGAGACCCTGAATGACATGGCTCAAAATCGTTTGCAATGGCGCAGGTGCATCCACTCTTTGTGTTCTCCCAAATTCTAATCTTCTGAATTCTTCATGTCCCTGTTTTCCTCTTTCCAAATTTATTTCACTGAATTATACTCTTTAAATAACATCTCCAAACACTAATCTTCCCGAACACTGCTTACACTCTTGCTACCTCTACCACTACGGGATTTGGATCGACAACTGCATTTCTGTGTTAAGGTGGTGTGGCAACTCGAACTGATGTACGTACGTACGAAGTTCTATGTTGTTACTGACTGACTGACTGACTGCTTTGCAACTGATTATGATCATATTTTCATTTTGGTTTTGGTACTTTTAAGTCTTATTGGTGCAACCTTTTTTCTTGTGTCTATATAGAGCATCAAGGCTACAATTTCGGTCCGTATACTAGACGCGAATTCGACTTAGTCTATAAGGATTTTCAGTGTTTTCAGATGTCCACCGTATCAGATGGTTTGGTTGTACAATAATTTTTATATGGTTTACAACTTGTATAGATGAAATCATAAAGAGAAGACTTTTAATCGAAGGCGAAAGTGGAAATGATGATCGCAGAATTACTCTATTACTGAAAAATTATCTTCGATGGGTAGCTTCTGATGATGTTGGTGAAGACGGGTAAATGATTTCCGAAATCTTTATTTGGGTCAGCTACGAAGCCTATCAAGCCCTTATAGCTAGTGTTTACCAGTGTGAAAACGCCATGGAACAGTCGTCATTAGTAATAGCTATGAACTACGAACAGCAAAAACAGTATGAGGATTTATATAAGGAGATTGGTATGTCGCAACTACGAAAATTATCCTCATAGAAACGGCCATTGAAAGTGCGAAAAATCGCATTCAGCAATGTAAAGAAGATCTGAGGTCCGCAAAAACCGTCAGGAAAAATAGACGAGGTAATTTGGTTCGTAGTTAGCTTATATCAACAGAGTATGACAGTCTTGCCAAAGTTCTTTGTGATCATCCAGAGAGAGATGAGACACTTGAGTAAGTTTCTATATTTTGCAGTGGCTTTATACTAAGAACTATTCATCGACTTACGCACCAGTGTCGATGCGGCAGGTGAAAATTTCTTATTGCATTTTTCGTTGTCAACATCATGATCGTAGTGCTCCTTTATTTTATAATCTAAATTACCTTAGATTCTGACTCATCGATTATTGAAGTTAAAAGGCACTTTCCTTTTAAAACCTTTCTTGCACAGAGTTTCGTCCTGTTAATCTGTGTTCATATTATCGACCATTTTCTAAGTTAATATAGTGCTCGGTTGTAGAATACGGTTATTTGTCATCGAATTGTTCTATTGAGAGATTTTAGATAATTTTCCTGAAAACTATTAGGCGGTTACTAACATAAAATGGGCGTCACCGACGAATGATTTGTGAATTTATTCACCCAATAAGCCTCATAAGAACAAATGTGGCTACAAATGTCTGATATTGGAGCGTGCAGCAATGGATAATTAAGGGGGCGGTGGCTTTGTGATTAGCACATTTTGTTTTCATTCATTATGCGACAGTTAAACCGTGTTCCACCCTGTCAAGTTTGGATAGCAGTATATTACCACTAGCTATCAAATGCAAATGTATTTCAAAGCCGAGTCCTGTTTGGTAAAGACGCTAATAAAATTCAGTCTCTTAATAGTACTGGGAAACAATGCCGGGATATTTGGGGTTCGTTTCCCCCACCCTACATGTAAATTGTTGCTTCTGGATTGGCCTGCGTCAACACCTGAACTAAGGATAGGGAGTGAAGTAGTCGAACGCATCGACAACTTCACTTATCTTCGAAGTCTGGTCAGTCGTAATGGGTTGGTGTCTGAAGAAATCTCTGCATGGATCCAGAAAGCTCGTTTGGCTTTTACTAACTTACGTCACCTATGTCGAAGTCGAGATATCCGTCTGTCAATTGAAGGACGAGTATACTGTGCAGTATTTCGTTCTGTTCTACTTTATGGTTGCGAAATGGTGGTCATTAAGGGTAGAATATACTCCTAAGTTACTAGTATTCAATGACAGACGTCTTAAAAATATTGCCAGCACCTGACGGATCACCGGGTAAGTAATAGTTAGGTTAGACGCAGGGTATTAGGGAATGATGTTAAATTAGTTGATGGTATTGTGAATCTTCATCGACTGAGATGGTTGGGCCACGTATTACGCATGCCCAACCACCAACTACGATGGCGGGCAATGCTGACTAGTGTTGGAGACTGATGGAATAGTTACGGGCGGCCAAATCAAAACGTAGTACCAGTCCATACAGTTACTAACTTCTGGTCTGAGCCATGTTGGTAGATGCAGATTACTTGGTTGGGGTCCACGTGACTATCGTAACCAATGGTTGGGGACTCTGAGTGACATGGCTCAGAATCAATCACAATGATGTAGTTGTATACACTTTTTCTTCCCTTAAACTGTGAAATTAAAATTACTTAATCCCGTTTTATCAACTAACTTTTTCTCCGTATCATATCCTTTTATTCAACCTTTATATGTATGTATATCTTACTACCATTGAAGTAACTACTTCTATAAATATGGTGTTCATCCCGTTGTGCTAATGAGGCATAGAAATTTCGATCGATGCTTATATGTGCCTGGTCCTACTTTGTAGATGAATTACCGACTGAATGATATGTAGTTGGTAAATGAAGTACATTTTAATTTTTGTTATGGACATAAATAATAATCGAAATACAAATCGTTATTCATCTGTAACTGTCCGTTGAACTCTACAGGATGGAAGTAATTTTTTTGTTGTTAAAATAAATTACCACTTCCCATACTTTTAACATGTCCAGGATATCAAATATGTTGTACGGCAGACATGCAAATATTTTTCTGAATTCCAAATAAACTGAGCATTGGGTAGATTGTTGTTAGTAAATATCTTTGTATTTTTTTAAACATTGGTCTGGTAATAACAGTTCACTATGTTGATGAATACACTTGACATTTTGTCCGTATACAAACTGTCAGTAAAACTGTTGATGAGTGTATTTGTCAGTTATTTCAAGATGTTTTTTTGTATTTTGAATATACCATATTGTTAAAAAGGGATTTTTTTGTTTGTGTACAGGAAGTATAAAAAATTAAAAGCTACTTTAGAACGACTGGAGAATTTAAATGAGGAGTACGACCGAAAAATTCAGCTTAGAAAAACTCAATTCCACTTGTTTTTGGTTGCTCTGAAGGGCTTACAAAAAATTGTCGAGGGTAAGTCTTATTTAAAATAAACTGCCACCTAATTTAATTATCAATTTTTGTAGATGATGATTCGCTATCTTCAGCCACAGATGATTTGGTTCATACACAGTCATCAAAGTCTATACACGAAGAGATTTCAATGAAAATGGATACAAATTGAAGAATATATATGTATTTATAGTAGCCGTAAAATTTTGCCTTTGTTCATTGCGAGAAATTGATTGACCTCGCTTCAATCTTGATACGATCTTTGTACGTACGTCTTGTAAATATAAGGTATCACATGTAAATTTCTTGTGAGATATGGTCAATATAAACTTCTCGTTTGACAACATAGGGTCGGGTGGTTGATATTTGATTATTTTGTGTTAAACGTATCCAATTTTTACTTGCTTACATCGAATCGTTCGTGAAATCGAAGTTGAACTCTAATTAAAAGGTTAACTATGGTTGCAACATTCAGCGTTAATCGTTAACTAACGTTTTATGAATGACATTTAATTTCGCGATAACCCAGATTCTTTAGATTAGGCTCCATTCTGCAGACATTACTTGAGTTTCGATAGAGCAATTAGAACACTGATTTGCTCTATTGAAATTTATAAAAGGGACTAATTGATTTAAATTACTTGAGTTCTTAAAAAAAGTTCGTTTGTTACAATTCTTTCAATAGTTAAAAACAGCAAAGCAAACCGTTTCTTCATGTACTCGTAAGAAAATACGAGCATCAACATTAAGAGTATAAACAGTTTAAGGACTTAATTTTATCACTTTCTTGATATTTTGGAAAGGAGTAGTACCTTCGAATAAAGTGTCAAACTCACATTCACTATTATTGTAAATTCACAAGTGATAAGTGGATACAAATAACATTTCAAAGACATAGACAACATAAATGTATCGTCTATTTGAATGAAGAGCACCAAGTAATTTTTATTAGTTACACATTACAGACTTCTAAAACAATCAGGGATTTGGTAAAGATGATCAAAAAGCCATGTTAGTCAGTTTGTGGTGCGTGCTACTTATATTGACAGTAGTATATAACGTAAGTCTGGCAGCAGAAGATTGGGAAGATCAAGAAAGGAAGGACGGGATTATAAAGCAACCAGTATAGAAATGCAAGAACAATGAAGTCCGAGACAATTATTGAACATTTTGCAAATTAGGTATTATAGTATGGTTTTTCTATTTTACCAAGTAACTCTGTAATGTTGTGCTAAATATAATTCGGTTGTCCTCACCTGTTTTCTCCTTCACTAAAAGTTCACTTCTATTTTTTTCCCTAATATTTTCGAAAAATATTTGAAAAAAAATTAAGTTTTCGGTTTGCTTATTTTGACCTATTACCTTTACAGACATCCACCATCTATTCAACATTCATTTAATCACCGTCCATTTTAGTGGAATTTTCATTTCTAATTTACGACTATTATGAAAACTAATCTTATTTTAACACTACTAAGTAAAACGTTTAACTCTTTATCAGTTAAACCATCCAAGTGGTTAGCTTTTATCATACTGTCTTTAACTATTATTGCAATCATTATCATTACCTCTTTGCATATGATTATTTTATGATTGTTTTAAGGTAATTTCTACCAGTTTTCCCATTTCATGTAGTGCGCATGTCTACTGAAATCGATTATATCATGATCTCGTTTATTCCTTTCGTCTAAAAAGCACATTAACATGGGTATAAAAATAAACATGATTGTTCACCGCTGAACTAGATGACCATAGTTTTGAGGTTAACTGGATCATTTTTTTGCTGGTGGATTATTGGTTCATGAAATATTTCCATGTTATTCTTTTTATACCAGTATTTCTTTGATAGACATCATTGATTTTGTGTCACAGTGATATACTTGAATGTGGAAGCTGTTATATAAGGGGTTAAGTATTCATTCGGAAATATCAGATTTGTTTGTCGATACGATGGGAAGTAATCAAGTATTTATGAAAACGATGAAAATAGAATTTTTCTAATCTAGGATTAATAAGGATTTATCAAAAGAAAAGGCTTAGTAAAGTGTTTGTTAGAGTATCAAAAACATTTTTTGTCATATAATATAGGAAATTTATTTTGGGAAGAGTTGCAGCAGTTATGGTACTACTGAGAGAAATTTAACATAATTTGTCTATTTATCAAATAGTAAAGTCACTTTTTCTTCAGCTAACCGGTTGTTCCTTTTTTAAACGCGCAACAGCTAGCCATATTAGGATGAAAAACCATTAGTCAGGTTTTCGTAGAGAATTGATGAATAACCACAGTTTCAAATCAAACAATCGATCGTATCCTCAATAACAAATTATAACCTTCTATTTCAGCAAATTGTGAACAAATTGTTTTTACCGGTTTTAGTATTTCCATGGTATCGATTATTATTTAATGCTCGGCGAGTTTTGTATTTTTTCTAAATTATTTTTTTTCATTCCGTTTCGTCCAATTAAATGACTAGTTTTAAATTCGTAATTGGTTATTCTTTTCTGAAAATTGACATGTAATGTAAGTACTTGTGGACAGATCCACTCTTCTTCAAATTGTAAACGATAATAACGTACAAAGTAAAAGTTCTATCGTTTCTCACGTTGTCACGGACGCGGATAACATATTATTGAATACGTTGTATTTGGTAGCGTTCCAATCGCTTGAAGAGTTAAAGAACACCATCAGAACTTATGAAAGGGCAACGTACTGCCATTATGTGATGCGAGAATCTCATTTCCATAGGGATCAGAAGACGTTTATTAAATTTGCATGTTGGAGAAATGGCCGTGGATCACCTGGCGGATCCTCACAGCCGATTAGACGAAGGAGGTAATTTGATTAGTGTTTATTATATTGTTCATGAAGGATTGCAATGAACACTCAATGTCGGGTCTTCATCTTTTTTAAGTTTATTGAAGATTATTGGATTGTTGTTCGTGGGAATGTGCATCACCATCATGAATACAATTCCCTGATGATAATAATCCTTGGATTCACAGGTTTTGCGCGGAATTTGAAGCGATGTGATCTCTTCTGATTTCGGGGACAGCACCATTCAATATTGTACACTCCGTTTACCAATCTTATGGGAAGTGCCTGAATCCCTAAGATGTTTTTAACATGCGACACAAAGTGTTCTCGCAGGCCAACCTTCCTGGTAAGCAATGCGCCTACTTACATTGTAGATGTTAGGTGATTACGCCAAATCGAAAGTTCACATCACGTCACTTGGTGGGTTTTGTGAGTACGAAATTGAAAAGAATTGTCTTCTGCGCTAATTCTTCGCAACTGCTGATCAGATAAATTTAACAACTCGTTTTCTTGATGTTGTTGGTTTTGATGGGACCTACAAAACCAATAACGGAAATTTATATTTGTATCAGATAGTTGCATTGGACATAAATTTAATGGCATTAAATGATATTTTTATCTGTCAGTGAATGCAAATAATTTGATAGCACAGATCATTCGAATGATATTAAGCATATGTTTGACTTTATGTGTATATTTTTATTCATAATTAATGAGGCAATTGGCTGCTAATTCTTGTGCTTCATTGAGAACGGAACTATGGTGATAGGTCACTTAACAAATATTCATAGAATATCTTGAAAATCTTCTAATTTGTACTTACATTTGACCGATTATTGTATATTATGATGAAAAGTCAGCATTAGCAGATAAACAATTGTCCCATCATATAAAAATATAAAAGCTTTCACTGTTATGGTTTATACTTAGACCATAGTAACCTTTAGTTTGAAATACATGTGTTTGGAGAGTGTTCATACCAATATTTACTCTAAATGAGAAGACACGTTTAAAAAAAATGCGATTCACAACATGAATTAGTCATTTAATTTATATGTTTATCAATAAGGAATTTAAGTCAACAAAGGAAATTGTATAACAAACAACTGTCCTTCAAAAAACATGTTTGTCAAGCTTCCATTTAATGCGAATTATTTTAACGTCCGGAATAGATTTTAACTGAGGGTCAGGATTGAAATGACTTCCTACTCCTAAGTTAGTTATCGACCCTATGAAACAGAAAGACTACTCAGAGAATCTAACTTAGGTAACAGACCTTCCTTAGTTAACACCCGTTGAATTCATCCATACCTGAAGTAGCACGCAAATTGATAGAACAGATAGGATATTTATCTAAAAGAATCTTCAAATCATCCAGATGGGACATAATTTAGTCTGTATCAAAGATGCGTTACAAAATTCAAATAGTCTGTGTCGTCAAATAATTCACTGACAGATATGGATCAATCGCTTAACATAAGTAGGTTGCAAGTGTCATATGGAAATAATACTCAATAGGAAATGAAAAGTCATTGTCTAAGCCTCACTGCTGTAAAATGTCGTATTAATCGTTAAGTAGGTCAGTTGGATTCTCCGCTTTGGTGTTTGAAATAAATGTATGAGATAAAATGACTAAGATGATAAAAGTAGTAAATTGCCACCAAATTCGAGAAATCACAGTATTTGTGGAAAGTAGACTTTATTGGAAGTTTAAGTAACTACGTTTTTGACTAGTCACAAAGGCAAACGGAGAGAGGATAAATCGAACAAACTTCACACATAAAAATTTTATTCTCCTTTTTCATTGTTGTTTTTATTAATACTCGCCCTTACGGATGGACACCCCTCTTTTTCACGGCCTTTTACTGACACTCACTAATCTACCTATATACTCTAGCTTACAGTATGCATTATATTAATCGGTAAATCTTAAGATTTCTGTAAATAATGAGTGTTTATTAAGTGCGATATTTTGAAACGAAACGAAAAATTTCCAAAGAGCATAGCAATATGGTATATGAGTTTGCTTAGTAAATTACTTTGTTGCCTTTCTAGTTTTTCTTTACTTTGTTTCAAAATGTCTCTTTTAATAGCCATTCTTATGTCACAAAAATGTGAAAATTAACTGAATAATTTAATGCATACTCTTGTTAGGAAATATGACCAGGCTAGTGATTAGTGTTTGTTTTTCAGTATATCTTTAGTCTACTTTTTTTCTTTTTTCCTCGATGTTTATCGATAAACGAAATTTAATAAAATGTATCAAGATTGTTATATACTACATGATGTGATAGGATTAGAGTAATATCACTTAAAGGATAATTTAGTTACATCTTGCTTCATTCAAGCTATTTGAG